GAGGAGAGGTGAAGAAGAGGAGAGGAGGGAAGAGGAGGAGAGGAGGAGGGAAGAGGACCGGAGGAGGAGAGGGTGCGGATGAGGAGGAGGGGCATACCCTCCCCTCAGTACCCTTTCCTCCTCCTTCTCCTCAAGAGCTGCGCTCTAATTCGGCGTTACATAAAGTTGTAAACGTTTCTTTTTTTATCTTTTATACTTTTTCAAACACGAATCTTATCTCTATCCGACAAAACAAATTCCAGATCGTTCCTCATTTCTGTACCAATCAATTATGCACTCCAGTTCCTTCTTCCTTACCTGCCTACACTGCATAACCACTTCATTGTCAACCGCAGTATAATTCGTTTTTTAACATGCATACGGTGTGCGCTAGTTATACTTAGGTAAACTGTGTTTCTTTAAATGTTTGTTGTTTAACCACGTTGTGTACGAGCAGACACTGGACCTAATGAAGCTTAATTAGTGGAAGGATCTAGTCCGGTGTTCTCGGCACAAATTTGTTGAAATAATATTCATGTAGCACTTTATTTAGCTACGTTATTTTAGTCAACCAATTAACACAACAAAAGAATTACGAAGTTGTTGTTGTTGTTGTTGCTGTTGTTGTTGTTGTTGTTGTTGTTGTTGTTATTTGCCTCTTAGCGAGTATAGTACAATGATTAGAGTTCACTTACTACTGACCCGCTTTCTTTTTGACGTGAGTAGCGCATCACAGCACATTTAAAACGGGCTAGAAGGCTATAGTTTTCTTCTTTGTTGTCAGTTTGTAATATGTTGCTTTTGCCCGAACGCTTGTGCAAACAAAAACCCTGTAGTACCACCAGTTCTCGCACCCTTAACAATAGAAAAAAATCAGAAATTCGATAGTTTAAGGTTGTTATAGAGCGGCTGCATTGTTAATGAGAACTAATGATCTTTACAAACTCTAAATCGGCTGCCCTATTGTTCGCGGAATGGAAATGTCAAAATATCATATCGCGGCTGGCCACAATGTCACTAAAAGCCCGCCAAAAAACAAGAGTCTCTGTTGTTCATTAATAAAGTACATGCGATTTTTGGGAACTAGTAAAAAATACGCGTCGCAGTCTTGTTCACATTTCACATACATTAAACTAAAAATAAAGAAAATAAAAAGGCAATGCTCGTCGTATGTGCCTTATTTAAACAAAAAGACTGTGGCACGGGGAATGTATGTCCCATTGTGCAGGGTCCGAATATATATATTTTTTTTATGCTTGAAGATATGCAACGATGTAATGTATTTTGTTTTGTTTTTCTCACTCTGGGGGGGGGGGGGGGTTATTATTAGGTTGAAAATTAAAACGAAAAGTTATAATCATTAATGATATATATATATATATATATATATATATATATATATATATATATATATAATATATATATATATATATATATATATATATATATATATATATATATATATATATATATATATATATATATATATTTAGCCTTTGTAGGCTCTTTAAGCAAAATGTTCGCAAAAGACTGGACCTTCTTCATTAATAAGGAAAAATATTATCAAATATGGTTTGCAGACGACAATGATGATGAAAACGCGCTTACAACTAAATGAAGAGGATTTGTGGTTTCTAGAGAATGATGCTGGCGCTTTTGGCAGAAAATTTACTATTGAGGTTCTTTAGAAATCGGTATTGCCGCCACCAAAAGTCCGTACAAATCGGTATTGGTGTCAAAGTAATTTGCTCACCCTAGTTAAATTTCAAACAAAGAACGCAGTGCAGATTACATTCACTAGATAAAGACATATTGATCAAGAAGATTCGTCCGTGACTTCGATTAGGACTACGGGAAAGTACTATAACCTCTAACCCAAGCAGGCCGATGGTCACAAGTCTTCTGCAGTTTTTCTTTTTTCTTTCTTTTTTTGTAGTGCTAAAATTTGAAGAGTTCCTTTTTTATATTCTCGTCAAATGAGTACAAGGTACTGCTCCAGAATGGAAAAGGGTTCCTGAAGAGAAGAAGAGATCAAAGCCACTCTTGTCATGAACATAGGAATGCGTCATGGCGCGCTATCGACTATACGAAACCATTGGCCCATCCATTCAATCAAATCTTTGGTTCTCATGTGTTGCCAACCTGATATCTCGACATCGATTTGAAGGACTTCCTGTTGCTCTATTTTCACAACAACGAATGTCAGCTTGAAAAAGTCCTACCAGAGTTTGATAGACATGCAACGTCATTCAAGTCCGAATTAAAAACAACTATGACATTGTGTGGAATTTAAAATATCTATGAACTTTGTTCCCATTTCATTGATTTTGGTGGGGAAGGGGTGAGGAAGAAAACTGTGGTTCGCAACCTGAGCATTATCTGGTTCCCGATATAATCAAATACGAGCGTGCAGAAACAAAAACAAAAATACGTGAGGTCGCTTAAGCTTCGACTTTAAGAGTGAAAAGCGGTAGCGAAACATATAAATCCCGGCTGGTTAGCAAGCCCTGCAAGCAAGTAAAATGAATTGCTTCATAAAGTGAAATCATTTGAGACACATGGCTACTTTTAACTCGCACTACATGCCATGTTTAATCACTGTCATTCCACTCATGACGTCACGTTGCTTGCGAGCATTCTGGGTTGTTTGAAATTTCCGCGCGAGATCATGTGGCTGCGACGTCATGACCAATCAGGATTTTTCTGTCTCCCCGACGCCGATCCTCTGATCCGATACCGATTTCTGTGATCAAGCTCCTTCAAGCTATCGCGTTAAAACCAAAGTACAATCATGAAGCAACACTTGAAATTCACGAATTTACACAGACAAAATCCAAAAACAGTCTCACAGTCTGCTTAATGTATAACCAAGACCACGATTTCAAAAAGTAAGGCTCCATATGGTAAAGGTTGTACCATCAAAATAAAAGCTATAATCCACATGAAAAATTCATCTCAGCTATCATCATCTTGCAACTAGAAGTTACCTCTTAGTGTTTTTTTGGGTTTTTTTTTTGCATCTGATTTAACTCAGACACTGTATTTGTACATTACATGGGCTGCTGCTAAAATATTATGCAACGAAGAAAAACAGATGGCCGCCGCAAGTGGGTAAATTGGGGAGTTTGAAAATAACGTACGCAATTTTAGCACACGCTAGCGCTAAATTTAGCGCCCGCGTTAACGCACGCTGCACGAGAGAGTTTTAGAATAGCGTATCTCCACAGCGACGCAAAAACCCATGCATCTCGCGCTCGGAACGCCACCAAGATACAGTCACAATTTTTATTTCAAACACTAAATTCTGTAACTAGAGAGAAAAAAAGTTTCTTTTTTGGTCCAGAGTAACATTTTAGATTTGTTTAAACATGAGAATGCCACACGAGCAGTCGACCGGTCGTGTCCGCTTGCGTCGCCTCAGCAAGAGAGGTCTCGTGTACTGACCTTCTCTGCCTTCGCCGAGAAATGTTCGCGCGTCGCAAGCATCAAGTTGCTGGTGATCGTTGTCAAGCCGAGTGCGATGTCGTCCCGTATTAAAAATCGCAGTCACTAGAATGCCGCCAACATCGCGCTCACGACTCCACCAAAGCGGCCGCGGACCCGCAGACATGGTCCTGGGAGCCGCCATTTTTTAACTGTGCTCGTCTTGGCTTTAGCCAACGTTATTAGATTAGCTCAGTTACGTAACTGCTCATAGACGCCGCATGCACGCACAGTACCCCCCCTCACCCACCACGACTCGCCCGGTGTCGCTTGACGCGCCGCCAGACGGCTGCTTTGGTAACTGAATCGGGATACGTTCGTTTCAACGTTACTAGAAACGTAAAAACCAACGGAAAAAAACTCTCTTTATAGTAACTTTTATTGGAGTTGAGTACAAAATGGGGGGACGCGTGATGTTTTCTAAAATCTTTAGTTTGCTAGGTTTTGCGGCACAATATTATATTTTTCATACAACCATGCCTCAGCGGTGATTTCAGGTAGCGCGTCCTGACCTAGGCTCATCTTATCTTCGGGGTGAATTCGCGGCGCGTCCGCTGGGTTGACGGGGGGTGGCATCCGGTAACCCTTTCCACTGTATCTGTTTCGGCTCCGAAATGGCCGATAGAAGCCAAAATAGATGTTGGGTGCAGTTCCTCCAGTGACCACTGCAGGGTAAATGGCGGCGTTGTGATCGCCATTTGGCGCTTCAGCTGGGCTCTTTGGAAAGCATAGTTATGAAACGAAAATATAGATGGCGCTTCGAACGACGCTTGCCGTATGGAAGTGAGTGAGGGGGGTACCCCCACCGCGGGAGTTCCACAACTGAGGTAATCTAATAACGTTGGCTTTAGCCAACTTCTCATCACGAATCCTCCTTGGAGAGGCAAAAAGACACTCAGTACGCACGCAATTTTTAAAAAAATAGCGCACGCAAAGCACAAAACGTGGTTAGCGTTCGGCGCATGCGCAGCGGCGACGAGGCCATTCTTTGCGTACGGAAAGCTTTAGCGTGCGCTATTCTAAAACTCCCTAATAATATTCAATAACGAGATCGCAAGACTTATCACCACTGATATTCACTGATGTTGTTATCACCACTACTATTCAATAACGAGATCGCAAGACTTATGACAGAAGCACTGAAATGGGTGGCCCCGGTAAGTGAACGGCTCTTATCAGAGTCGATGTGTGAAATGTTGATAGTGGACTGGTCATGCATCATCATGGTTTGGATTTACGAGTCCTACTTTTCCGCGACCAGTGTCCTTCGTCCGAAACCATCGGTAAGTGAAGCCTCTAATGTGACTGAAGGATGATTGATCGAACACATTAGATTCCACTTCCTTTTACATGCGTTTTTTATTTCATGTATGGATCAGTACTGGACGAATTTAAGGCTATCGCGCACATGGGGCGTCAACATAAAAGAATTCGTACCAGAAGAAATCGGCAGACACTGTAACAATCAAAATATCCTCGTAAAAAAAGGTAACTGGCGCTGCAATTTATTTCATTGGTGGGAAATTGTTTCCAAAGTTGGGCGCAGACTCAGATCTTCTTCACCTTCAACCAAGCGCCATCCTGGGGATAGCAGAAAAGAAAGGAAGAGCCCAGCTTCAGTTGATCCTCCTGAAATATTTTTAAAAATAAAATAATCTCATTTTAAGCTTTAAAGAATAGTTGTTATGGCTTCTAGGAGGGACGTAAGGTCATGCTAGGAACCACCTGAACGAAAATATCCTCTTTTTGTTAAATCAGTTTCTATTCCGACCGGTATTTGTCCGAACGTAGGCTTTATGGCCACCATTTCCTAAGTTACCTTATGCACAAATACTCCGGCTCACATTAAGTTTGACGCAGCCGACGCTACGTCCCTTTGGAGACAATCAAACAGCGCCAAAAGTGCATCGTAACGGCGAGTGTCGTCTTTGTGTATTTGCCTTCACCGAGTAAACGAATCACGCACATTGTAGGCACCGCAATCCTGCCTCTTTTTTCTTTGCGTGATTGGTTTAATCGGTCAAAGGAGGAGGAGGAAAAACTTTTATTGACGGAATATGGAGAATTCCTTACAGTGTGGTCCTCGTTGCAGCCGTGGTGGTGGCAACCTTCTTAGCCCTTTCCACCTCAGGGTTGGAACTTCGGAGTGAGGTCTCCCACTCATCATGGGATGAAATCGGGTGAAAGGGTCTTGTGGGCAAGCCCAGGTTATGTGGGGCAGAGTGGCTTCCTCGCCGCATAGGGGGCATTCCTAAATGGGGAACATTGAAGGGAAGACTTGGGTGAGGGTGGCTCGGTTGGGAAAGTGATCGTGAGGGAGTTGCCACCAAGTATAGTCCTGCTCCGGAGTGAGGGTCTTGTCGGTTGACGGATTGGGCTGACGGGAAAGGAAGTAGTGTGTGGTAATTTCATGGAAGCTCGATGGACTGTCCCTGGCGAATCTGGCCCCGGGATAGGGATAGGGAGTATGTCCAACTATGAGTGTATCCTCGGGCTTGCTCATGGGCTGCCCCTTTCCCTCGAGACCACCGTGAGTGGGTGTCCAGACCACTCAGACGGTGCCTGCAACCAGGTGCGGATCCAAGGGGGGGGGGGGGGGGGGGGGTGGAAGGTTGACGGGGGCGGCCTTATCTTCCTCCAAAGTCGAACCCCCCTCCCCCTTCTGGGAGGGCAATTTGACATGGGCAAACCCTCCAAATTAAAACCGACTACAGGCCTACCAGGTGGTACAAGGCTCGGTACTCAAAGACGAGGGTTCAAAATAGGGTAGATCGCACCCGAAAAGGCACACTTGTACTCTGCTCCGTCGTTTCAACCAAGACTGAAGTCCGCGGCGGCGGTTTCAAAGCACGACTTGGCTTTGAAACCGCCGCCGGTTTCAAAGCCAAGCCGTGCGCAGCGGCGCAGCGGCGCACATCCAGGGGCCGTCGGCGCAGTGTGGCTCTACGGCAGCTAAAACGAAAGGCGCAACCGGAGTCTTTTTTATGTTACTTTAAATCCCCCCCCCCCCCCCACCCTCCAAAAAAAATATATTTTCTTTCTTAAAACGAAGTTCTGGATCCGCCCCTCTCTGGGACGGGTTTCTGTCAAGAATTTGGAGCGCTGGCTTGGAAATGCGGCCGGCTGCGAAATTTTCAAGCGCTGATTTAGAATTCGTGATGATCACTCACAGTAAGGGCGAGGGCTATGGCTACCTCCTCCGCCGTATCCTGGTCACTGCTCAGGACGGCGACTGTGTATGGGGAATTGTAAGTTGTCATTCACCGCAGCTGGGAAAACTTCTTGGTTGCCGTATTCTGCTACGCCCACATCTTAGGACACCAGAATAAGCCCCGTGTGCTCTTTGCAGGGAAAAACTCGATGTTTCCTGCGAGCAAGGTGGTGGGTGGGATGTACGTTTCGAGGTAACAGATTTGCTATTATTTTGCTTTGGATTTTGGGCCTGACGGGGGATTTTTCTTGGACGAGCTCGTGATATCCAATGTTTAGGCATGCGAGAATGAGCTTACCGGTGGAGCTGTGGGAGAACCTAGTCAGTTGGGCAGCACGATATGCTTCTATTAACTCGTTCTTGTGATTTGCAAACCGAAACCTTCCATTTTAGCAGTGGGAGTGCTAGGCGGTAGGCGTAATGCTATTTCGTAGACCTTGGGAAAAAGGTATTAACCTATTGGTGAACGCCGGAGTGAGGCGTAGGTACGGGGAGAGTATGTTAGCCGCTTTGGACGAATGCTTGCAGGATGCGGCTGCGATCATGTTCGTTGAGGCCCTTATATTTATTAGTCACCCTTTCTAGCAGGCCTATTCGATTATTCTGACTTTGTAATCGTTCAAGGAATTTGTTTGTGGGCCTATTCGGCTAGATCTGCAGTCCCAAAAGTTTGAGCTCCGGGACCACTGGCCCCGGAGCCGCCGGAGCCGCCGGGCCTCACTGCCGTTGATGTGTAGTTTGATGTCAGCGTTGTTTTGCTTCCTAGGGTTGGGGGGCTGAAGTAGTAGTTCGGATTTCGCTAGAGAACAGGCGATTGCTGGTCTCTCCGTTTACTTCCTTCCTATCTCAACCCCTTGTTTTAGTGTTTCTTCTATATGAGCGTCACTCCCTCTGCCGATCCAGATGGTGATGCCGCCTTCATATGGACTGCGTCTGAGTTGGGGGATCTGGCCTAGCTTTTTTGGGATATTAGTGACTGCCACACTGAAGAGAATAGGAGAAAGCACAGCCCCTGCTGCCCAATTGGATATTATGTGGTGTGAGGTCGCCAACGTTGATTACTGCAGTTTCCCCCGAGAGGAATAGTTTGATGTAGTTGTATATCCTCTCTCTGGGGTTCACTGACCCTAGACTCCTAGGGATGGATTCATGGGCGACATCGTCGAATGCCTTTGTGAGGTCTAGGGCCAGTATGGCTGCCTTGTTGAGATTAACTCTGGATTTAATTATTTGCTCATACTGCTGTAGTAGTTTGTCCTGCGTGGATAGCCCAGGAGAAACGTCCCTTGACCTGGAGCCGCGTGTCGCATCCCTACAGGCCTTTGCCACTCTACTTTAAAATTAATTTAGGAGACTACTAAGGAGCTTTTCATCGCGGCTTGTATCGCTTTGGCAATGTTATTGTGAATGTTTCGCTCCAGGTTAACGCATCTCTCCCCGGTCAAGTACATATCCTGCTCCAGCTTAGAGTATCTGCTGTCGGGCTCTCGTTCGATTGAGGGGTCTCAGGGTTGGTGTCTTGATTCTCTGGTTCACTTCTGGCGTACCCTTTTTTGGGGACTGTGGGCGCGACGGGGGCTTGCGCTTGCATGCTAGCCTTAAGGTTCCGATTCTACTGTCTAATTGCCTGTATCTCTAAGGAGGTTTCCTTTCTCCCTCCGAAGCGCCGCCATCTCAGCTCGAAACTTAGCGAGCTCCACCACTTTTTCTTGCGGGATTTGGGAGGGGGAGGGGGGGGGGGTGCGCGGGGGATTGGGTATATGGGAAGGTTGAGAGTGGGTGACCTCTACCGCGAAGCTTACCGTTTTATATGTGTCCCTTGCCTCAGACGGGTGCATAAAGCTTGCCCTTCTGATGTTTGTTGCCGATCCGTGTGACGACCTCCCTTTTCCGGTGGATGGTGTTCTGCCCCTGTTGCTAGAGGGAGCCTAAGTGTTCGCCTTGCTTTTGACCAGCGACTTAATCGCCGACCTGCCTCTGTCTGGGAAGGTGGGCCAGTTTTTGGCGTCGTCGGTGTTTGGAGGTGTGTTTTGACTGCCTGGTGGACCCCTCGCTCACACGGAGGTCGACAGTGGGCTTGCTCGCGACAGTTGCCTGCAGCGCAGTTGCAATCTTTTCGGGAATTCCGGTGTTCCCATGAGGTGCGACCCGCTGGGGTTTTCTAGGCCGCAGTTAGGGCACCTGATGGTCTGATGAGGGCAGACATCCTACCGATGTCCCTTTGACCAGCACTTGGTACAAGCATCGGTCTTGTGTCGACACGGGGTACAACAGTAAGTGGCTGGCCGGTAGCGAACCTAGAAAGGGATGTTTGGTCCGTTGAATAAGATTTGTACGACGTTTGTTTCCTCGAGACGCCTTGCTGCGAGTATAGGCAGGTCCGGGTTTGACTTGACCAGAGCCTGGTTTATTTCGGCTTGTGAGTCCTCCTCGGGGATGTTGAATATAATTCCCGCAGTGGTGTTAGCCTGGGCAGAAACGTGCGCTGCGAAATCATATTGCTTGCCTTTGACCAATATTGTTTTTACTGAGCACAGTTTCTTTGTCCGCTCTTCCTCCTGGGTGCTTACTAATAGGTTGTTGACCTTTGTACATACGCGGATTCTGTCCCTTGGGTCAGGTGTGAGTTGTGCCACCTGAGTGACGCAGTCGGCTAACGTGGTAGGTCAGACGTTGCTGAGGTTTAATGCACTCTGGGGTGAAGCACGACTTTGGCGTGCTCACCCGGAAGCCGTTCAGCAGGTCGTCCTCGTGCCGGGACAGGTACGGTGCTGCACTTTGTCGCTGAAGTTGCTGTTGGCGAAGTAGCTGACAATGGTGGTGGAGTCGAACCGGGCGAGATGTCTGAATTTAGGGCCCGCTGGCTCCTTCGGATGCCCGTCAAGGACTGGTCGTATTGCTCTGGGGAAAGGTTTTCTCCGGCTACAACAACCTCCATGGCCGATGTCGTACCTAGGCCCAACCGCTAGTCCCTGCGGAAAAGCCTAGTCCCGGCGTAGTCCGTTGAAGCTCAGTCGAGGTCCCAAAAATTATAGGGTGTAAACCCCGAAAAGTGGTAGCCGTTGAGTCCTCTTCACTTCCGATGTGTTTTGGTGCCGGTTGTTGGTGAATGTCTTGCGAAGTTTCACGAAAAACATCCTCGGTGAAAGGAGGCCCACAAATACAACGAGCACTGCGTTGATGCACTTTTGGCACGGTAAGACTGGCACCACCGAATCGTAGCGTCGTCAGCGGTCGTAATGCACCCTAAGCGTGCTATGTGACAGAATACGTTGTCACTCGACACAAATGTTACATAAAATGCATGCTTTTAATGCCGTCTTGTTTAATCTGGCTTTTACCTACCCTGCTATGTATCATCAACATGGTGAAAGCTTATTAGTATATTTCAAGCGTATATCATAAAATAAAATCGGCGGTTTTATTCGTGTTGCGAGTGCTACATCTAGAGGTATCTAAATATAACGCGCATTTGTGGTTTTCTACGCAAGATCTTCGCAAGAACAAGCTTTCTTTTCTAATATGCTGGTGAAACCGTAAAATATGACGTAAATAATTAACGCAGAAAATCTCTAAGAAAAACATTTGCGGTGTGATGTGATTCCTTTTTTAAATTTGTACTTGGCTACCGCATGGTGGTGACAACCGTGAAACATTACCGTTTCCTCAAAATGTCTGCCGATAACGTAAGTGTACCCAAAATTGTAATTACATAACGCACTGATGTCATCAAAATTGCGGCTCCAAACATTTTTTTCCAACCTTAATAAATGAGTTTAATTTGCGTAACTCATGGTGGGACCGAAGAAAAACGCTGCTAAGCGGCAGGCTTGACGAGATCTTGTCACCCGTACAACGGCAGACAGCGGGGGCAAAACTAATGTGATGAACGTTGCTGAAAGCAGCTTGTCATAAATGCACATGAGAGGGAACACAGGGGTACATAAACTACAAGCAGTGTTTAACGCGTCACTTTTTTTGGTAACGTTGTAACGTACTCGTTGAATTTCCAAAACTGTAACGGCTAACGCACTTAAGTCGCCTGTAACGAGTAACATGTAACGAAGTTACCTTGCTCGTTACATACTCTTCCCAAAACATCAAAAAATTACACCTTAACTTTTTTTGTATCTTTTACGCGCCAAGCCATATACAATTTTGCGATTTTGCGTTTTTTTGTTTTATTTGAGTATTTATGTGGAACCCTAGAAACAATAAAGTAATCCGGAGCGCAAGTTCGTCTGCTTTTTTGCCGGAATTGTGGTGACGTCAGAATAATGCCGGGCTCTGATTGGTTCTGATTGAAGGATAGTGGGTAGACATCAAGGCAGCTTGCTTTGAGGTCTACCCACTGTCCTTCAATCAGAGCCAATCGCATCTCGGCGTTCTGACGTCATCACAACCCCGCCGAGAGAAGCAGACGACCTGCTCTCCGCTTTATGTTCTGTTTCTAGACGGACGTAATGTTTTTTTTTTTTTGTTTTTCTTTTTAAATATGGCGTTTATATGTACTTGTACAGACAAAAAGTAAAACGTGTTGAAAAAAAATTTAAAGAATTAACGTGCTTTACTTTGTACCGGTAACGGTAACGCGTTCCTTTTGTTTGCAAGTAACGAGAAACGCATTTCGTTTGTTTTTTTTATTTTTCCGGAAGCACCTACAACACTGCCTACAAGAACGCTTTATGACATAAAAAGATGCAAAAACACTTTCCGAAAAAAAAAATGCGCGAGTCAGAGAAATGCGAAACAAACGTAAAAAGTTTGAAAGAATAACAACCAAAAACTAAGCGAACAGAAGCGAAAAAAAAACACATCATGAATGTGAGAATCAGTGCAGTCGTTATATGCAATATACAATAAAGGTGAGCGCCATTGCGGTCGTCATGTGCAAGATGGCGTCAATTTCACAAAACAAAAAGGAAGTGCGAAATTTCACGAACCTCCACGTGCCTATCGTCCAGCAGAAACTTGTACTTGGCCAGCATCTTGGCCAGCGTCAGTTTCATCTCGAGCTGGGCGAAGCGCATTCCCACGCAGTTTCGGGGTCCGTTGCCGAAGGCCTGAAAGGCCATCGGGTCAAAACTTCCCTTGTTTTCGGCGCTGAATCTGTATTGGGTCAAAGGAAGAACTCGCAAAACCAAAATAAAAAGGCGTGCAAGAAAGATAGGAATGCGTCTTCGCTATTAATGACTAAAGATGGCCGTTTAAAACTTTTAATATTCAGATATCTCAAGATATTGTCCACTGTTTATACCTAAGCATGTGAATAGACCGTAAAAATTAGATGGGCGGATTGCTAGGTGTACAGGTTCACTTGGAAACAACAAACAATGGAATGGCATTACTAAAATCATTTATCAGACCATCCAGAGGGAAGGTAAAAGTCATAAAAGCTAAAATTAATAATAATTAAAATCTTGAACTTAAGGAAAAATAACCACAGGAATCGGAACAGTAGTCAGGTCATTTTTTATTTTAATGTTCTTATAGCAAGATTTTAAGTTCGAGGGTTTCCCCACACCAGATCAGAACTTTTTACTCAGCAGAACTTTGGGGAGCTCACGTGTGTCACCCTCTGGGGAATTTTCAAAGTGAAACATGCGAGTTCGCAGCTTTGATTGTCGACAAAGAAACGCGAGTACGTAGACGGGCATTTCTTTGTCTTTATTGCCAGAGAGGATGTCCCCTGATATAGATGCAAAAAATGAAAGACGCTTACAAATCTTTGTAATGCGAAATTAGAGTGCAGCTCTTGAGGAGGAGGAGGGGTGGGCACGGAGGGGAAGGTATGCCCTCCTCCTCCTCCGTACCCTCCCCTCCTCTTTCCCTCCTCTCCTTATCTCCTTCTCCTCCTCTCCTCCTTAATCTGTCCTTCTCCCCTTCCTCCCCTCCTCCTCTGCTCCTCCCCTCGTTTCCTCCTCATCCTCCTTCTGGTCTCCCCTGCTCCTTATCCTCCTCTTCCCATCCTCCCATTCTCCTTTCCCTTCCTCTCCTCCACCTCCTCCATACCCTCCCCATCCTCCTACTCCCTCCCCTCCCCTCTTTCTTCACCATACCTTCCCGTCTTCCCACAGTTTCCCCGCTAAATTTAGTTGGGAAATTGGCGCCACGTGACCTCAACACCCAATTCAGTTTTCCCGGTAAATTTAGCTGGGAAAATGACTTGACATGGCTTCGTGTCACGTCACCCATGAGCAAATTCAGTTTCTCGATCTGCTAGATTTAGCGGGAAAATGTACATCATGTGAAATCAACACCAATTCAATTTCCCGTTAAATTTAGCAGGTCGACGACCACGCCGCTTTACACGGAAACGGGCGCCTAGGAGCTGCGCTTAATATAAAGGTTATTATCATTCAGAGGTGCAAAGAAAAAAAAAATGATGTTGCACGTGAAGACCACGTTAATGGAAACATTACAATAAAAAAAAAGAAGTTGATATAATACGTCTTGTATGTAACATTTCTCAAAATCCACACACGGATTAGCTTTCTCATCGGATCAGTCAAATACATCCTGCGAAACATAAATACCTTGGTGTCAATTCAGTCCCATTATAGCCTAAAGTATAAGTAATTTGAATACAGGATGCTATACAAAAGCTTTTCGTCGTCAACAAAGCGAAATATTGTTTGGCTTAGATACTTTGTCAAATGCAATAAAGAAAAGAAATGCGATAGCACTACTATGCAGTTCCTAACCTACTAACCTAACCGTGTGCAAAGAAGGCGGGGGGCGGGGGGGGGGGGGAAGTGGGGAAGAAGATTGAAGTGTTAGCGCACCTCTTCGTCCCCTATATCCCCCCCCCCCCAAAAAAAAAACCAAAAAAAGACGCAATATGACGTCATACCAAGAGGTGCGCCTGTGCTCCGCTGCTGACATTTCAAAATAAAACTATCGCTTTAAGATGAAAACAAACTCCTCTAGCTGTCCGAAAAATGCTCGTCATAGAAATTCCATCAGGTCGAACTTCGAGTGTGAGTCTCGGTACAGTCATATCCGTCGGAAAATGTTTAGAAATCCAGATAGCTGTAGCGTTTATGTAAAGTTGGGAGATCCAGCTGGCTTAATCGCCTATAGCTTGACGACTGGGAACAGCGCTTTTGAGATCTCGATTTACGGGGCCGTTAAAGAAGGAACGGAAAAAACTTATCGCGCTCACCTCTCCGGATCGAACGTCTCGGGATCACTCCACAAGTTTGGATCGTGCTGAAGTTGATATTGGGGAATCACGATGCTCAGTCCGGCAGGAATCTTAAGGTCCTTGTAATGGTAGTCGTGCTGGCAAGTTCTCGTGACGAACCTACCGTACAAAATTAAACAGAAATTCACTATATATACGCTGTTTAACCTTATTATGTACCGCAGGAAAGGTTGCAAGCGCGAGCTTGTTGCTCTGGGGCACATCTCGGCGGCACAAGCTCTCGTGCGTTAAGAGCAGCTCTCAACGCTAGGAGCTCGCGCTTCTAGCTTTCTCTGCGGTACAACAGAAGGTTAAACAGAGTATAGTAGGCGACAGGTTAAGGATACAATGGTCACCCCGCGTACAGCGCGAGATTTCGCCATTCGATGACACTACGGTGCAGGCAGCGCCAATACACGACGAAATCTAAGGCATACGTGCTGTAGCTATAACACCTAAAAGGTTAGATGTGCGCCTTCCCCCCACCTCCTCCTCCAAACGTCACTACTCGTGGATCCACCCGATGCCGCCTAGCTCGCATCAGCATCGCCGCAAGCCCGTATTGCAGCGTTTCACAACAAGCACGTCACTACCAGGCGGCGACACCAACACGAACATGTCTGCGGCTTTACGGCTACTCTCGTCGTGTCCAGCCTGTGTGCCACTTGGGGGAGGCTCGGGGATTCAGCAACAATGGCGTCATGCTCAGGAATTGCCTTCTAGCTGGTATTGGCTGGTGAGGGAGCTTGTACTACCTTCAAATATGTCGCCAACTAAACTGTCAGTGTCCTTTAAAAAATTGTATTGCGAATTCATCTTCTTCATATGCCTTATTCCCAAAACAAGTGCAATGTATAAAACTACGACGAGAACGTTTAATAAAAACAAAAATGCTCCCTAAAGGTGTGGGATGAACGTGCTACGGCTAACTATTCAGGATTCGATTTTCTAGATTTAAAAGTAGAGTGATTTAATAATCTTCGTGTAATTATAATTTAAGAAAGTCAGATTACACAACTAACTAGCAACTTCTTTTTGGTTTCGGTTAAGAGACAGTTTTGAAATGCATTCTAAAAATATTCAAGCATTATTTCACGGGCAAACGCTTAGAAATGAACAATTCACTCCAACTTTTATTAAAATCACGGGATAGCCAGTCGATCGTAAAGTATTGCTGACCTAAACTTTTATTCAAAATCATCGTCTTCCTATTTTTCAAACTTCCTAGAGTTCTGTAGATAACAAAACAATTAATTTGTTAACTCTTCCTCACATTTGGATAGTATAGTTTTGTATATACCGACTTCTCTATGCGTATTCAACTGTTTTACTTTACTATAAAGACTGAAACCTGACGACAATGACATTTCACAATAACGGAATTGTCAACTTAGTACTCATACGAAGAAAAACGTCTACCTTACCCGACGACGGGAGGATAGAACCTCAACGACTCGGTGATGACTTGGTCCAAAAACTGCATGCTGAAGACGTTGTCGTAGTTAAACTTTCCCTGAAATAAATCATTCATCATCAAACAAATCTCCCGTGGTGTTGCAGTTTGCTCCACAACAAATCTCACTAAAGCTTACCACTCAGTGCACTTGCAACATGAACAGACACACGTGTGAAAACTCTCTAAGTCAGCGCCATTTTTAAGATGTTGAACTCGTAACTATTTTAGTTAAAGCGCTCTTATAGAATTTAAATAGTAATAATTTGTCTAGTTATGAGCAATAAAAACATTTTTAGCGGAATATGCAGATTATTTCCTTTTTATACCCTTTCGGCACAAAGCAGTATCCAGATTGCGTTGTAGAATTGCGACAGAAGACATATAATCTTCCATCCTTGTAAAAAAAAAATGTATATTTAACACGCAAAAAATATATTTAAAAAAATTCACGTCTTTCTTCAGTATGGCACATATTTCGCTCCTTAGTCTGTCTTGGACGTCTTGGTGCTTCGCCAGCAGGTAGGTCGTGAACGTCAAAGCCGTGCTTGATGTCTCGAAACTGAGTCAGCAAAAGAAACATACGCAAAAGCATCTTCGTAAGACTCACAGAGCTGCCGGGTATTTGAAATATTCGACATCAGAGTAGGCAAGAAGGTAATACCTTGATAAAGCAGAAGCGAGTTAGCCCCGCGTATAGATTTATCAGCGCACGGCACATCAGAGAAGCTTTCATTCAAAAGTGTCTCATAGCCTATTACGCAAATCATGCGACACTACAGAGTACACTGCGGGTAACAGCATACCGCTGTAGACGCTGGCAGAATGAGAACTGGCAGGACGTGTCTTCGGAACGCCCGACCATACTTTAATCCGGGCCTTGGCTTGCTGTGCGCGTGCTCGAAGCGTACGAGATAACAAAGCATTGCGAAATGTAAGAATTAAGCTTCCGCTGGAGGCACGACGAATAAAGCTTTTTCCTGCCGTTCTCATCTTGGCAGTGAATATGGAAGGCGTCGTCGCATTGTCCGCCTTCCAATCAAACCCCAAACCCATATTTTATCACCAAAATATGTGCCACAAGTTTCCATTATTCTACTCTTCTAGGGTATAGGAATTTTAAAATTGTTTTTGCACTATTTTTTCATCTCTGCTCCACCCTGTTACGCGATCGGCATTAGGCAAGTTAACAGCTAATCAACATCATTGAGAGTTAAGCCCTGAGCGCTCTGAGAGATGGCATCGACAACATCACGATACGTTTCTCCGCCTGCTTCGTTTTATTTTGTTCTTTAATTACGGATATTTTTGAAAAGTATGGGTACAATTTAGAGATAAGACAAAACTTATTTGCAGCTTTTCTTGCGCGAGAGGACGTTATTCGGATGGTGTAATCAATGACGTGAATCTGGCGGAATCAACTCTCCATTTTCTTGGATATTTACATTGAAATGCGTCGAACTTTTTAGGCTCACGCGGTAATATTCAGGCTAGTTTACATGGTGGTATACCTATACGGGATGCCTATTCTTCAATGTGCGCCTGACGGCAGCCGACGTCGAAGTGACGTCAAAGCAGGCTCTCTGCGGCCTTAAAGGATGCATGCAAAGGAAAAAAAATGTTTTGACAGGGTGGGAAAAGGATGTAATAAAACCAATTCACAGCGAACAAGAAATATTTGTAGAGCTATATTTACTGCGCGAAAGGAATTTGTCGTTGGCACCGGCGGGCGCGCGCGAAAAAGTGGCAGCTATTTATCCCGTGCCACTCGAGCTCTTCCGGAAGCTTCCTACGGTCTCTAAAAGTTACTTATTAATCTTCGCTTGAAGTGCAACGAAAAAATATGAAAGCCGTTTACAACTCCCTGTAACGCCGAATTAGAGCGCAGCTCTTGAGGAGGCGGAGCAGAAGGGTACCGACGGGAAGGTATGTCCTTCCTTCCTCCTCATCTCCTCATCCTCTCTGCTACCCCTCCCTCCGAGCAGCGTCGCCGTCACCTCACGAGGGTCACGTGACCTCACGGGGGTCACGTGACCCCTATGAGGTCACGTGACGACGACGAGGCCGTCATCAGTGACGATGACGATGACGATGCGGATGCCGATGATGTCATCAGTGACGATGACGATGACGATACGGATGCCGATGACGTCGTCAGTGACGTCACTGATAACACCGTCAGTGACAATGACGATGATGATGCGAATGCCGATGACGTCATCAGTGACGTCACTGATGACGTCATCAAGGACGATGACGATGGCGACGCGGATGACGTCATCAGTGACGTCACGGATGACGTCATCAGTGACGGCACGCGTCCCATAATGCACCGCGCGGTTACGCCGACAGTGACGGCGACGCCGACGCCGACGCCGCTCAAGCCGGAAACGGGCGCCTAAGAGCTGCGCTCTAAAACGAATATTGATAAGTAACTTTCAGAGCCCAAAGGAAGCTCCTGAAGGAGCGCAAGCACCACGTCATAGACCTGTGCTCTGGTCAAAAGAGTACGGCGGCTGCGCGCGGGAGTGTTCCCTTCCGGCGGCGGTGGCGTGGAGAAACGCGTTAAAGGGATTGTCCGGTCGAAACCGGAAGTACTTAAGTTGTTGCGCTCGTTACATCGAGGGAGCCTTCATATAGACAAACGTCATTTTTATTTTGGTATATGATATCCCGTTATTAATTAAACCTTTCATGAGCCTATGTACGAAACTGCACCCCAAATTTCGCCAGTGTCAATGGCTGACATCCGTAGGTGCTGCGCGACGTCACAAAACACAAAGGTTTGTCGGATGGTGGGGATAACAAGCGTTGGTCGACGGGTGTCTTGTATTTTGTTTCGAATTATATAGTCTCCTAGGCAGTACCCTACTGAAACACAGTTCTTTTAAAGCAGTTCCCAAGACGTGCAGAAAAAGTCCCGCCTTTTAGCAGGATATTACTCGCAGACAGCCATAAGCTTCGAGCAAACGTATGCTGTTTCGCGCAAACAAAACTGCGACGGACGCCGATCGAACTAGGGCGCGCTTGCAAAGCAAAGGATGCAGATTTCGCCTCTGAAGTGGCACAGCTAGGTACACGGAGCGGCATCTGGGCACATATTTCGGCGGATCCACTGGATCGGTGATGAGGCTGCGGGTCGTTCCCCCAGAGGCGATGTCCGCGGGCCGAAGGCAAACGGCGAACCGTTCAAGTGCATGTCGTCACTTGACTTGGACGAGCTTGGTGAATCGTAGTCACGCTCCATTTTCACACGCGGGTCAAACAGATATCGGGCTGCACGCGTGCTAAATACAAGTTCTGGTATCATTTCGAGATGGCCTAGATGTTGGTTTCGGTTTCGCTGCATAATCAAGGTCTGTTCGATTCGGCCAGGAAGTTCTGGTAGCGGCAAAAGCCCCTCAAAGAAAATGTTTGCATTTCGACGATAGGTTCGCGGCACCGGGATGATTTTACGTCGGGAGTCGCTGGCGGCAGCGCGCGGTCGGCATACCGGTCACCTGGAAGAGGAAGGCCTGACGGTAGCGTCTTGTTATCGACCGTAACTTCGGCGTCAAGTTGAAGCGAGAATCGGCAAAAATGGCGATTCTCGGCGTTTTGCCCAGGCCCGTTAGCGGGCGTCCACAGATACCAGCGGACAAAGCATGCAGTATTATGCTCAGCTACGGGGACATGCGACTGTCAACGCACTAAATCCAGACCTCTGAAATGTATCGGAGTCGTCAGTATGCATCCAAGAGCAATCTGAAGGCGGGGACTATCATGAGGGCAATACCTTCCCTGTGTCTGTAAGTAAGAATATCAACACTGTGGATCTCCGCATAGCATCAAAAAGAAACAATTTACGTGAGCAAATATTTCAACACTCATCACAGGGAGCCAAACCTACGCATTTGAGCAAGAGCTGCGAAAAATGGTACCGCGAGCAGAGGCGGACGAGGAGTGTCGTCTGCTATCGCCGTCTGCTCTTGTCGTCTGCCTCTGCACGGACGCTGAACTAGTTCAGCCAGTTCAGGGTAATCGAACAGACCTAAATTGACTGGCCCGATTTGAGCGAGGAGTGGGTGGACGTAGTCCAATATCGTTGGCACCAGCATCACACCTCAGCTTACAACCCTTCTGTCCGCTTAGAGCTCAGCTCGTAGCTTTCTTCTGTGAGATGATTGCTGCATAAGCGAGATCTCGGTCTTGACGGGAACCCAGTCCCTGCGCACGACGGCGATCCACTTTGCTCGTCACTGCAAGTCTCGCGGAAAAGTGTGGAACGTCATGTCTTGGCTCGCATGTGCTGCCCGGTGAATATGGAACCGCGCAACAAAAATTTCACCCAACCACGAAACAAGTCGAGCACAACAACAAAAACGAAGCACGCAGAGGCGTTCACTCACAGGCAATCGACGAGACAAAAATGCTCGCTTTGTGTTTTGTGACGTCAAAGCTCCAATGTTGCCAACGAAAACCGCGTTTACGCTAGAATGCGATTGGAGCAGTATAAATTCAATTACTCACGCAGAGGGCCATATAAAATTCGGATATTGCACGTACGATGCGTCTCGAGGCAATAACAATGATATTCAATTGTTTTCTCGAATACAAAATTTGACCGGACAATCCCTTTAAGCCGCCGGCGCACCACGCTCAGCGTGTGGAGGCGGCGTGGCTTCGTGGCGGCGGCGGCGGCGGCGGCGGTGCAACCCGGCTGTAAATTTAGCCCTAAATTTTTTTTCTTGACTGTAAATTTGTTTTTTGACATTCTTTTTCCATCTAAGCTGTTTAAAAAATATGCTTTTTTCTTTTGCATGTGTCCTGTAAGGCCCGATCACGCTAGCGTCGGGGAAGCTTCCCGCCGCCGCTGGCCGCCGCGGGCAGTCGGCCAAAACCAGTTGTCACCCTCAGTGGCTCGACGCACGGAGCCGTCCAGGCAACGCGCCCGCGCGCGGTCACGGGCTCGCCGTTTTTTGCCGCGGAAGAAAGGAGCCAATGGGAGGTGACATAAATAGTGACGTTACGATGCCATCGCAGCGCGCAAGCCGCTTCTCCTTGCGTATTTCACGCTGCAAAGGAGTGTAGCCTAATTTTGGTTTGTCAGCGATTCCTATTTCCCCCAATGGTTTTCCAAGCGGAGCAGTTCCTCGAAACTGCGCGACTTTTCTTCTTTCGGTATGGCAAGACGCCGCTAGAGTACCTAGATAAGGACGCTACAAACAACCGCTGGGAAATTTTGGGAGATGAATTCGGAATAACAGGTGAGTTTGTCCGTGGTCGTTGTTGCATGTCGCTTGCGTTGTGACGGATTTGGTGACGCAGTAAAGAGTAGCCTTCATCTCTGGCGCGCAAAAGGGGAAGCAAAGCACTGACCTGTCCCTTGGTGTTTCGGCAGCGCCAACTCGGCCGGCCTCAAGACTTGCGCCTCCTTCCCTTCAAAGCGCGGCGACTTCGCAAGAATAACGAGCATGCTAGGAGGATCATCTTCACGCTGATTACCAGGTCATCATCGACACCTGCCATGTAGGTCGCGAGTGAAATTTCGACGCTGATATATACGAAGAAGAAAGCCGAAATGGAAGAACTTAACGAAGAGCAGACGACGAAAGCGCTGGAAAACTTGCGGAGGTGCGCGCGCTTCCTCGAGAACGCGAGAGTCAGTGCTTTTGCCTGAATATGACGCCAGTAAAATGGAGGCCATTGTGGCCCCGTCTAGTTGGAACGCCGGACGGCGTGCCGTGGCCGCTAGTGTGGTCAGGCCTTCAGAGGGAAAATCTGAAAAATTCTGATAGGCACTGATTAGCTGAAAAATTGGTTCCGCGCTATAATAGACACGTCTGAACCAGTAGCCCAAATTACAAGTCACAGTAATGTTTTCTTCAAGAAGTTATTGAAGTTTCAAATATATTGATACATTTCAAACACTTTACGCTAGACATCCTCCTTATAAATTTGTAAGAAGTAAAAGAAAATCTCGGAAAACCTTGGATAACCCTAGGGTTAAAAGCGCTACGGTCTTATCTCTAGGAGGTGCTGACCGAAGCGAGGAGTAGAGAAGCGAGGCCGCTTCCCGTCTTTTTCAACTGTTCCGGGATTTTGGCACGTCATCGCCCTCGCGTGATCGCGCCCTATATTTAAAAAAAAACGGCCATCCGTTTCAAATATCGATGTCTGAATTATGTATTGGATTCCGTTGCTCCCCGTTCAGCGCTTCTGTGGCTTTATTTTGCGAAATCGGAATTTCGGTTCAGTATCGCTTTAAGCACCCTATACTGTTGAGCAGGAAAAAAAGCGAAGGCACTTTTAAACTGCAATTGCGGAACCACTACGTTTTAAAAAATCATAAAAACGCGTAGAACGCGCTACTTATAAGGGGCCGACTTCGAGACTTTTACTGCCTCTCGGATTCTACACTCTATTTGGCTTACCTCTTAATAGCATGATCTGTCAGCTTACCCAGCAATTAAGAATAGAACCGCGTTGGCGTGAACTTCGAGATTGGTCAAGAACCGGCGCTTCCGGCTGCTTTCTTTCGATTCGGTGGCTGCGAAATGAAGACAGCTCAATAAAAGGCATCAATAAAAGGACATTAATATCGTTCATTCTTGTAACAAAAAATATGTATTATTGGAATAGTAGCCATTTGCGCTGCCAGTGCACCTATAGATCACGCCAACTTTATTCGGACAGTGGTTTGCTTCTTTAAGTGCTGTGTACGATTCGGGCACGCGTCTTTGAACAGGGTCTCTTTTTCATGCTTCATGTCCGTGTTCTTATAATGTGAAATAAGCAGTGTAGAAATATTCCGCTTCCCTATAATTTTCTCATAAAGGTACGCTACGAAACATACTGTTCTTTGGGAACGCCACCATTTCTGTATCACTCTGGCACTGTCTTGTACTGTTTACTATGTGTGAATCTTGCCCTTTTTCAACGCACCAGGTACGGTTGGCGTCAATCTTTGTGCTCAAGAACCCGGATAATCATTTTTCTGGCCATTATTTTTGAACAGTTCCAGTGAAGTTCCTCACTTTTAGATCTGTCTTCGTAGTAGCTAACTGTGAGGTCATGGACATTCACATCTGCCCCTTCTTCCGCTTCAGAATCCAACATAAGCTGCAACAGGTCTTGCCGATGAGCCTAATGACAAAACAAAAAAGAAATAAAATTTTAACAATTTACTGCTTCATAACCCCCCTACCCCCCCCCCCCAAAAAAAAAAAAAAAAAATTTTTTTTTGCTTACTGCATTTACCTAACCATGATTTGACAGAAGAAGCGCATAACAAATTTTATGGTGAATTCGTGTAAGCAAGAATTAGCGTAGACATTGTACTCAACGTCATTTTCCATCAGAACTGAATTGAAGCCAAGATTACAACGAGACACTAAGAGAGTGGTATAGCTACCATTTATTTTCCGAGGCTAACACCTTGCGTATCGTTTTGTGATAATCATATTGCTTCTGCTGATGCTTTCTTCTTCTGTTCAGTCTTGAGAGCATAATGAATCCGGCTGACTTGCAGAGAGGGTATGCTGATCTCACGAGGCTCCTAGCTTCGACGCAGTTCTCATGAATGTAGCAGAAATGTCATATACGGTAATGTTAACATGCATTAGGTGTTCAAAATAAACTGTCAACTTTTCATCAGAGCACATGGGGAGCCGCTCACAACTCAAAAAAGAGCTTGAAGAATAGCAAGGGAAGGAAAATACGTTGACCGAGATAGTGGCATTTGCGTTTTGACACTGATTATGACATATTGCATCATGATGATATTGCGGCCATAATCACCACATTACCGAGGAAGATACCCCCGCACTCGAATTCACTGTTTTGTAAATATCGATTCGACCATAGTGTTTTGTGTTCAAGGTTATCCTAAAATACATTTCGCTGTTAACAGGAAGTTGTCCAAAACGCTCATCCCCTTACAAACTCTGATATGCCTAAAACCTTGTGTTCATTAGCACTCAGTGGTACAAACAAGATCAACTTTTGATGACTCTGCCAAACACAAAATGGTCTTATTGCGCCGAAGCCCACTATCTATAACTTTACTAATTCTTTAACGAAATGGCAATTGTAAACTGCATCAAATGTAAGTAGAAATTATGTGCACCTATCTCTGTAAATTGGGTGCCTAGGCATCTCTGAACTGCTATTTAAAGAGTAGCATTTTGTGTTGTGCTTGAGTGGTGATAAGTAACATATATTCTACTTCTTTTGAACAGTGTCGTTGATTGTTGGGCATGTTTGTGCTGAATTCGAGAAGGCTTCATGATAAGGACAAAAAGAAGAACTGGGCAGCACTCTGCGCTCAGCCTACAGTGGGGACAAGTCCTCCTCCTTCTCAGTTCCTAATAATACGCAGTTCCTATGAAGCAACCGGGAACGAACACAAAAGACCTAACTTTTAAAAATGTACTTCTAAAAATTTTATTCTTGAGTCCATTCTCCAAAGAAGACTTACCGCTGGGTTAGAACGGCGCATGTTGATTATCGGCATAAGGCCATTACAAATTTTTTCCACCGGTAACTTCATGAATCGGTTCCTCCACATAAGAATCAGCTTCCAAATGAAGGACAATTCTGGGAAGCAAGCTGGAAAGCAAACAAATCTATCCATTATGCATTAGTAAAGCCACATCGACACAGCCTGTGATATCATCCAACAATAAGCCAATTTTGTATGAGAATCCTCAAGTTCAAATTGTTGCAGATGACAGTTGACCCTTTCATGTTTTAAAGTAAGGTTTATTACACAGACCCAAAATTCGCCAGTTCTGATTTTACATGGAAAGCATCACCATGTTAAATATTTTCATATCGCTATTCATGGTCGATACGCGACCACCATTGACATAAAATGTACAGCAATATCTAAGTAGTTTACAGACACCCCAACAATAAACAAATCGACAAAGATACACCAAGTAAGACAAAATAATTTATATTTTGTTTGTGCGCTGTTATTTAAATGCTAATTAAATACGACAATAAAACTGGGTGTGGATCCTCCTAGATGACTAATTTTCTAATAAAACGTTTCGGAAGGTGCAAACAAAAATATAGCTAAAACATTTTATGGTTTGCGGAAGATCGAATATGGCGTGACCCCGATTAAGAAATACAAAATTGCATGCACTTGCCAATGAGAAACATCAAGCAGCTTGTTTTGAACGCCTCCAGGTGAAGCAGAATGTCCTTGGCGATCCCGTTCATGTCCGTAATTTCTGGATTCTTTTGAATGTTCGATTTCGCTCCGAAGGCCGATCGGACAATCACGTCCATCGAAAGCTTCTGGAAGACCTGCCTTATTTCAAATGCCTCGTCTTGGTCATGGAGGGAATCCAGAACTTCAAGGAACTCGTCCGTGCAAATGTCCATCAAACTTGAAATCTGGAGGAAAGGTTCATTTACTGGTGTATTTTCAATAGGATAGAATCGCGAACGTAACAGAACAGCACACGACAAAAGAACACGCTACAAAACAGCATGGTAAAGAAGAACGCATCCAAAAGAGCACCGGGTCAAAACAGCGCAGCGACAAAATCAGTACGCAACAAAATAGCACGGTGTCAAAACATCAATGCTACAGAAAAGCATGTGCTAAAAGAGTAAGTGACTAAAGAGCAACGCGATAAAACAGCGGGCACGTAAACGCGATTTATTTATTTTTAGTTGTAGGACATAGTATTAGCAGCACGTGCCTAAATTAATTACTTGCTGTTAACCTGTTCGGCAGAACATATGTGTATATTCGTTACTTTTATGTTCTATCGTTATATGACATTATATTTTGCCCTGTGTCGTTCTATTTTCTTACCTAGTTATAGCTTTACGTGCATATTCAGTAATATATATTACCTTTTCACCGCAAGCCAATAAAGACAAATTTCTTGCATCATTATATTAGAGATTGATTGTTAATCTCTTAATGTTTTATATTGATACAAATGCAATACCCTATTTACCCAAAGGAAAATTAAAAATCACAACTGACGAGGTTCGTGGAACTGGCAAGAAAATTGTCTTTTGATTTACACTCTTTTTCCATATATCTTACATGCTGTGTGTCCTACTTGGACAGGACGTTCCGATAGTCTGCGCAAAATTAACGCGTATGACTTTGAACCCGATGGGGATCATTCTTTTTGGCCGTCGATCACCGTCTGGTGGGGGAGGCTCTGCTCGGTTTTTAAGGCCTCGATGTTCCGGTAAGGGTCAGAATGCTGAAAGCAAAGCGAAGTTTGAACGCACTGGTGCCATGCCTCTACGCTATTGCTGGTCTTAGGAAGCTCGAGTACAACGCGCCCATGGCAGCTCCACGCTCTGAAAAAGGTGTTAACACTGACTTCTTTTGGGATCGTTCAGAGTTGTCCGTCCCTGTACTTTTTACCTCCAATAGAGTCACATGACTCGAGTGCTCAGTGGAGTCAGTGGACTCTACCCCCATTACAGTCTAGTGACTCTAATAGCCCGGTGGCGTCAGGTGACCCTCTTCACGCCTGGGGTGAGGTGACTATAATTCACAAGGGTCAGACGACACTCCCAAATAAAATCAGGTGACTTCCGTTTTAATAGAATCGTTCTACACCACGATAGCAATCACCAGATTCTATTTTTGACGGAGCCAGACGACCCCCATGGAACCCACTGCATTATTTTTCTTCTAGAATCACGTGAACCCTCCATGAGAGTCACTGTATTCTCTCCGATAGAATCACGGGACTCCCGTTTTACTGGAAGTACGCAACCCCCCCCCCCCCCCCACCCCAACTTGATTTCAAATCTTAGGGCGTCAAACAATACCGCCAATAGGAGTCACTGGATTATTTTTCTGGTAGGATCATAAACGCCCCACAAGAGTCAGGAGTTTTTCTCGCAGGGATTAATGACGCTCCTGCTTTGCTAGACTCAGATGAACCTCCCATGAGAGTCCCCAGATTCCAATATTCAATTAGATTTTTTCTGAAACTACAAGCCAGTGGCCACATTTGACACATTAGCGGCACATCCGCATTTATTTTCCCACTCATCACTGAAGAAATCGAAATATGCAACGCTGTCGCCATAAAATATGTGTTAAAGCGTTAATACATCATGCTTTCCCAGGATTTGGGTCCCATCGCTGGTTTGATGCTTCCAGAGCCGAGACTGTGCTGCAATGCCCCGTCTGCGAAAACGTCGAGGCGTGTGGAGATGGTGCAGCGCGTAAAGGAAGCCAATACGGTATCCTCCAACAGAGTCGTTGTGCGTTTCCGTACAACGGCTGCTAGAACCAGAAGAAAGTTTGCCTCTTGACAAAGATATCTACAGCTGAATTAGATCATGCCTTGGTCACTGCGAGCACCAATTCGCCTAAGCTTTTTTTTTATGTCACTTTTGTGCGGATCGGCAAGTCGTATACCAAATTCAATCAACGTAATGGAAACATATGGGCTCCATGTGCTTCTATTACGGTAAACAGAATAGTTCTGCCTACTAGTCTCACAGATATCGACAAGATGTGCTTTCGCCCATATCATACTTTTAACCGACGTGGTGAAAATGTGACACTCACTTTCTTCATGTTGCTGGAAGTGAAGGCCGGTGTCAAAAGGCTTCGTATGCTTTTCCATCGATTTCCATTTGCTGTTACGAGAGAGTGACTGCTTCCTTCATGTTCTAGATCCACGCGAGAGGTAACCTGCGTGTGTGAAGCCATGGGTAAGTACCAAAACTTTTTGGATCAGAGTTCAACGGAAATGTTTTATTACAAATCATTCGTGTAAAAATAAATTGTAGTTGTGTTGTGTGACTGCAGGGAGTAAATAAGTTTCAATGAGCGCCTGTCACCTCCGCTTAAGATACTAAATTTAACAAGGGCAGTCCAACTGCTAGCCTGGTGTCTTTCGAGTTTATCAAAGAGTAGGAATCACAGAGACGAATATCGGTAACGATACTAATCTAGATCGAAACGGACCAAGGTGGTCATAAGACCAAGCATAGAGTAAAGACGAGGAAGAGGGCATTTGCACTGTACCGGGCAGAAATCAGATTGCCGGGTCCGCAACCTGCTTTTGCTCCAAGTGCTTCGACAGGTTAACACACTCTGCCACCGACCAGCCCCACCCCCTCCCCCCCTTATTCGCCTTTCTTGAAACTAAAATATCGTGCAGTTTGGTTGCGGCGCCCTTCTTTGAAGAGGAATGCTGCGCGGAAGGTAATTGTTTTGTATTGCTTCTATTCTAAATCACTTCAAAATAAGTACATTCGTCTGAATTTAAGTGTAGGAAGCGACATTAAGGAACAAACGAACATACTATAAACGGAAACTCATTAAAACACAACACTTAAAATTGAACTGTTAGCCCACCCCCCTTCCGCGGAAGTTGCTGAAGTCCTTGATCTGGATCCTCTTGATCAATTCTAAGTCCTTGACGATCAGCATGGGTTCAGCTCCATTGTAAAACCTTGAATATATTTCAAAAGAGGAAAAAATATAGCAACCTTATGTCATGCCTAAATAGGTATCGATAAATTATAACATTCTGTAGTGATGCTGGTCACAGCAATTGACAAATTGTTTCGTGCCAAACTACACGAGATTCTTTTTTTTTTCTTAACAGTGATCAGCCGTTTTCAGAATAAGCTTACTTTCCAGAAGCCTAATTACTTCAAGGTAATCGCTTACCCTACCAAGTTTCCGTACTTCTTAACCCATTCTTCAAAAGAAAGTCTTGATCCCTAAAACACAGCAGAAATATAATATTAAGGAAACACTAGCAGTAGTACAGAAAGCGGCCGTAAGGACCAGCTCGTTTGGCACGCCTTTCAAAAGTAAAATTAAAATTTAATCAACGTTAATTTTTTTAAATGTTGAGGAAGAGGCAAACAGCCACCACATACAAAACCCAGCATTAGCACACATACATATGCCAGAATTAGCACAAAATAGTTCATAAAATAATGTGTAACGATTACCTGGAAGGACAAAGGTGATATTTACATAGTAAGCATGAACCAAAATTTGTTCAATATACAGAAAAAAATGCATACAAAATACTGGGCATAAGTAAAGTTGGGTAATAGCTGGAAAAAAGAAGTCTCTAGTCTAATGATCAAAATAATTTAGTAATAATTTCAGTATAAAGGAGAGCGAATGATGTCAGTAGTAAGTGCAAGCGAGTGGAATATACCATGCTTAACTGTGGCGATTATTACATTTTGTACTTTCGTTTTAAATTTGATACCTGTTCAGTAATGTAGATTTTTCTTCGTAACATCGATTGAGCAGTGTGCTAGCATGTATATATATTGAAGAGTAAAAATTCCAAGGCTTCTAGAAATTGTTATTGTGTGAGCACGTATTTCGAGTTGTAAATAGCGCGCAAATTTTTTTATTGTAGAAATTGTTTATTAATATGGTAACAGGGTAGTTCATGGTAATAAAAACCCCAGACTCAGGAGCACAGACGCTAGTTAAAATACGATAATAAAAGCGAGTCATAATCTACCAATTTTAGATTGGTGGGTAGAAAAAAAAATCACAATTTTGTCAGGGCACCGAAACCGCGGGCGAGTTTGCTGGCAACATTATCAAGGTTTGTTCCAAGCGAGATTCACTCGAAAATGACTCCAAAATATTACTTCGGGGTGCAATGTTCATCTTGTATGTACCAGTTATGAGGCTTCTCTTAATATCTGGTTCACGATTTTAATTCTACAATTTCGGATTTATTAGTGTTGATTGTTAATTATTTGAATGTGACCCTTGTGTTTAGCGTAATCCACACGTGGTTTGCATGGCCTATTAAATCCTTCCCATCTCTGGAACTAAAATAAGGTTCTGTCTTCAGCCTTAATGATCCATTATGCATTATCGTCATCCATATAAACAAACAACAAAGGCCCTAGAACAGTAACCTAAGAAATTCCCGATTTCATTTGCTTAACGTATTAAATTCTATTATTTACGACAATTTTCTAACGGCTAAACTCAAAATAGTTTTCTAGATGATCCAAATATATCTCCTTAAAGCCATATATTTCACGTTTTTAGGATGACCTTGTGATTCATTCCATCGAAAACTTTCGTTCACTCAGTAAATATTCCCAGCGCTACATATTTCACTTCATTAATATTTAAAATCAGGTTGTTTTTTTTGTGTGTGTATGAAGTGCCAACTTTGTTGAGCGCCCATTTCTGAAACGGAGCTGGAAACTGTTATTTAAACTTATTATCCTATGTTTGTTATAATGTTTAGCCCTTTCATTTATTAGTCTTTAACGGCACTTTCAAAACTGGAAGATTTGATATCAGCCTAATATTTTACATTACATTCCTTTCACCACCCTTAATAACACGCTAACCTTTGCTAGCCGCTTACTGGAGAGAAATATTTTATACATGAAGAAATGTTACCCACGTGTTGAATGAAGAACATGACATTAGATATCAGACGTGTTTGACTGGTCGAATCGGTAGGTCAACAGCATAACAACAACTTATTGTGGAAGAAAACAAGGTTGCTACAAATCTCCTACGCAACCACCAGTGTTGCTTGATGGGATTTCGAAAAGGGAATATTATACATACACTTGTTTTATTCTTGAAAGGTGCCTTTATGCTACAACACGTGCTTCACTAAAGTCTACACTTTACTCAGCACGCGTTGCCAGTCTTTAATCTGTGGCAATATACTTGATTTTACGTATAACTAAAAGCAAAAAACAACCGGCCGAACTTGCTCGGTTCATTAACATTATCTAAAGTATGTGTAAATACAAATATTCGTTTCTTTGTCCAGTCAACCATTTCGCCAAATATTGACCACAGTGAAACACCTCGGAAACAGAAATGGCTAGTTTTACACTATCTCCAGATTGGGATCACTCTCTGTGTCTTAAAAAGTAGCCGGAATGTGTGAGGTGCCGACTGCAGTGCTGGCACAATGTTCAGAAAATATAAGTTTATCATAAATCTGTAGAAATTAAGTTGGTGCCGATGGTAACGGATTGAAATGCATGACGCACAAAACGGTATAACCGCACAAAAACCAAGAGACGCAATAGTTATTCTGCAAGTGAATCTTTTGCTGCGTAACTTTTTTTATGTAGCGATGATCCTATTTGGACATTTACCTTCTCAATGAGCTCGGATAAATTTCCGGAGAACAAGCTAGGCATCGGTCCAGGTATTCCAATGTCCTTGAAGAAAGAAAAATGCTTTCGTCTCCGCCTGAGCAAAAAAAAAAAAAAAAAAGATCATTGCTATCTTTTCACACCCACCAATATTTCACTAGTTTTTCTAAATCTTTAAGTGATTTTCTGCTTTTGTTAGCGTTTGGAATATTTGTCTTCTTGACTCATATCATTGTAGTCGTTTTGTGGGGTTAAATTTATGGAGCGGTAATATAGTCAGCCTGGGTGGGTAGGTGGATGTGTGGCTGTCTAGTGCCACCGTTGTAGATGAAACATTTAGTCAGGGCAGTAGCGATGCTAGCCTCGGTCTTCAGCATGTATCATGCGGAAGGGAGACACGAGAACACGTCGGTACAATGCTGATCCAGAGGCAAACGGACAGGGCTGGTGACTGAACCTAGAATCCTCTAGTTCCTCACTCCAGATGCTCGGAAGCGCAGTAAACTAACACACTCGGCAACCAATCTTCTTCCCACGATTGTAAGATGGCACCATCCTAATTATGCATTGCAGTCGTTTGTCTTATGCAAAGTGGTGGTTGAAAGGCTCCAGAGGATGGCTCTAACTTTAGATTTTCGCCTATTGCCTATCAAAACCGCGAAAAAACAGAATCCCAAATCGTTCCATTAAACATACATTATCTTACTCTGAACGGTTCTACGAGTACTTCCTAAAGCGATTTTATTATCTCCATGCTAACGTATGAAAGAAAATTTCAAATGGATCGACGCAGTGGAACTGATTGAAACTGTTCATAAGTAAAAATTTGTGTTACATCGACATTGAATAAAACCTGCTGATGAACGTTCGTTGGAACATCCTTAATTCTTCTCTTTTTTACGTGCGCGAACAAATGCGTATGCCAATTTAGAGTTAAGTGGCTATAGACCAGCATGACGTCACGCCGCAGCGATGGTGCTATTGCCAGCAAAGCGCACGCACAGACGCTTTCAAACGCTGACTTCTAGATCAACAGCATGTCAATCTATACTAGCAACAACGGGATGTAGAAACCGGTGGAAGCAGTGAGGGTTTACTGCTATAAATTACAGTCCTGCAAGCATGAAGTGCATTAATGCCGAGACATCTTAGACATCTGGCTTCACATTTAGTTACGATGCTGAGGGGCCAGTTCAGCAGACCACAGGTCCGATGCCTCATTCATTTTTACAAAACTTTCATCTATACATCATTCATCCTTAAGCAGAGACTGCACCAAAGCTACACACGCGAGCTAACCTGTGCTCCTAGCTTTGAGGCATGCATTTTTACCGAGAGTGTCCGCTTTGTGGAGGGACTTTCCAAAGAACCGACCCCGTGCTCTTGTGCTTGTGCCATTGGCTGCAATCACAACTTCAGGGTCGCCTACTAAAATTAAATTGGCCCCGCCTTATATTTGTAAGGTCCTAGAAGGCATGAAATTCACTATATAAGAAAACAGTGGTTTAAACCTGTTTATATGGCATTTAGAGTCTGTTTAGGGTGTGAAAAACATTAACGTTTCTATAAATTTCTCGGCTAAAATAACGGAAAACTAAATTAGTGTTATGTCACGTGACGCCAATTTCCCCACCATATTTTTCACACAAATCAAATTGGTGTATGGGAGACGTGATATGATATCAGGTCACGTCATTTTCCCGGGTAAATTTATCGTGAAAATGTGCAAATGAATGGACGGACAGATGAATTTTTGGGATCATGGGGTTTTATTAAAAGGCATAATATGCCTTAACATAGGGGGCTTTAGACGTTTTACTAATCACTTATGGAAGGGGCTACATGCTATAAACACAAATACACGTATTAAGGTCTTTTAGAGTGTCTATACCACGCAAATTTACACCCGCAGAGGAGAGATGGGGGGTGGCATGTTCGCACAATGCAACACCCAGATCAAAGGCGTTATAGTCGGAATTATACGCTCTTGCGATTCGGTAGAAAGGGTATTAGAACAGCATAACTCCCATATTGTAGGGTGTGTTTTGCTGTCCAAACTCGAAAGATACATTGTCAAAACTCCGCGCTGCGTCGCATACTTGCAGCCATACTCCAGGTGCCACACCAGAGAAAAGCCTGACTTGGCACAAGCTCGGCAATCCTGGGCAGCTAACTTTTGCCTTTGATACGGTTTTGTTCCAAGGCGTTAGCTGGTGCCAGGGTGATCTTCATTGGCGTTTTTCGTGGCTTTACTATGACTCGCCACACAAGCGCCGAAGTGCCACGTATGAATCGAGGAACCAGCGGTGAAGCCCAGAATTGGCACTTCTTTGGAAATTATTCTCAGAGTTATCCCCCTCAGAAAACAGAACAACAATAAGTGCAGCCAGACTCCGGCACTTGAACGGCGATTTAATCCCAAAGACGCCAGATGAAAGCCAAACTACCAGCAGCAAAGTCCAGGTTTGAGACTTGTTCGCCGAATTAGGGACAAGATGCCTAGACTATGGCCAAAGAAGGTGACGTTTGGCTCTACCCTGGCTTTTTCAATATTTTAAAGGACAAAATATAAAAGACCTGAATATTGCTTAAAGATTTTATCTACTTGGGACAGCTTTTACAATAAATACAAACAAACACAGACGACATGACGCACGTGTTTGCCTCCAGAACCACAGCCGGCTGCTGCCTATTCCTCCGCTTATGATACCCGACAGTTATGAGTCGGTCATTTAGTCAATAGTCATCTCCAGAATTAATCATATCTAAAGTACGTTGAGTTTTTGTTTACAATATTTCGAATCAAACATGATTCTTCAAGGCTATTGGACTCTTTTCTCTCAGTAAGAAGCATTTGTTCGGTCTAAAATTACTCAGCCTAGTCGCTAAAACAACATCAAAAAGAGGTTTCATGAGGACTCCAAAGCAGCTTTGCACCATAGCAACATTACGTAGAGTCATCTGAGCGTCTACATCCCGCATGCACCCTTAAACAGTTTAGAGGTAAATGTCAGAGCTTTAGTCCATAAGAACACGCATATCAGAAATAAGTGTGTGCGAAAGGTGTTTGGATTATTATTGTGCACTTAAAGGTGAAGATTATTTTAAAAAGACCACATCACTACAATAATGTCACGAATGGGTGATTACCCTTTTTTCTGCCTTGCACCTAGGATTGAATCACTTTGATACACAGATCTAGTTTTCTCGAAAATAGGTAGGGTTAGGTAATATAGCCTAGGTAGACAAGTTTAGTGTTCGAGAATATTTTCCCTTAGCAGCATGGTAAATATCCCCGATGCTGTGTTCACTCTGTGTCCCAAGTGGTTCGTGTTCAATCAACACTTAGGAACGTTATATTGATTTTCTATTATTTTTTATTAAGAATAATTCAGCAATTACTCATTTAAAGCTTGTTCGTAATCTCAGGAATTCAGAAATAACGCGATAAGGATTCGTAAATAAGTGCACCTTGTGAAAGAAAAAACAAAAAAACCGAAAACTTTCAAGATTTTTTCAGAGCCCCTCTAAATTATACGACTTAGTATTACGTCTGCCTCTGTTTTTATAATGATATTTTCTGAAGCCTAACACCTGCGTTCCGCAGTCCTGTACATCGTTTTTCACGGTAAACAATCGAGGAAAGTATGGTGACGTGTCTTTTCACCGGCTCTATTTTAATTCCTAACATCTAGCTTCTACTTGTACACGTAGATGCAAAAAAAGAAATCGTGTCATCTATATTATTGTGGGGTTAGTACTATAGTCTGCCAATGTTTTAGTATTTCCCCAAACCGGCAGAGCAAAAGCCTTACATTTCAAAGGCTCCTCCCCAACATTTTTTAGGGCGGCGCTCTTAGTCGCCCGTTCCCGAATTTTGTAGCTTCGGCGTCTGAATCAGCGTTGTCGTCGCCGTCGGCGTCGGCGTCGGCGTAACCGCACCTTGCATTATGGGACTTCACAGACCTAAACGCCAATTCAATACCCCGCAAAATTTAGTAGAGAAACTGCACCCAAACAGGGCCTCTCGCCCGCTAGATTGAGCGGGAAAATTGACGTCACGTGACCTCAAGACCAATTCAGTTTCCCCGCTAAATCTAGAGGAAAGATTGGCGTCACACGAGTTTGTACCGCGTGACGTATACACAAGTTCAGCTTCTCCGCTAGACTTAGCGGGAAAATTGACGTCACTTTAGCTTATCACAAGTTCAGTTTCCCCGCTAAAGTTAGCGGGAAAAATGACGTCCCATGACTTCATGTCATTTCACCTATACACCAACTGAGTTTCCGCGCAAACTTTGGCGGAAAAATTAACGGGAATATTGACGCCAAAAGAACTCAAGAGCTGCGCTCTAATTTCCATTACAGAGAAGTTAACCACGTCTTCCAATATTTTTTTTTCACAACAATTTTTTATAAATACAGTAACTAGCAGCCTTAATTTTTGTAAGACCGACAATGCCATTGAAAGGATGATGACTATTTTTTATCAGCACGCACAATAGTCTAGTCCCATTAAAAACAAAAAAGATGGAAAGCACAAATATAGTAACAATTCGATGGTCGTTGATCAAGGTAAAGTGAAAGTAACACTTAACAAGGAGGCGCTACCAAATCACGGGAAATCACGTTCTTCATCACACACAGATTTCTTTTACCACTGTGATAATTGTTGCAATCGACATGGCTCAGTTCGATTTCAATTCTGCCGCTTTGATCAAAAAGTGTACTCCCACTTTTCAGTTTTAATTCTTCGAACTGCGAGATCCTTCGTTAGTTACCGAAGACGCATCACTGTTGAAACATAGTTGTGACAAAGGCAAAAATATGTACTCACAAGTAGAACCAGGTGATGATGAAGACGATTAACGATACCCATACAAGGTCCAACATGTCAACGACAACCTCGATGAAAAATCGACCCGGTGTATATGATGGATCCTTCAAAACAGTAAAATGCCGAATAAGCGCCGGTCGAACAAATAGTTATGTCCTTATTTTCATCACGAGAACTGCATTGCCTTAAAGGGGCAAATCAAGAAAAAAAACATTTAATCGTATAATCCTTAAGTCTAGCATGTGCTTATGTACTTCCTCCCAATGTATCGCGAATTCCTGATTAGTTTACAAATATGTAAAAAATACAACAAAATGAAAATGAAGTATTCTGAACGCAGCATTTCTGAGACACGGTACTTTAACGGAGCTAGTGACCCGTATTAATATAAAACTAGCAGTAAGATATCGCCTCCAAAAAAAAAAATTACTCTAATCCAAATTTAACCAGCCTTTCGCTCCAGAAACACGGACCCCTACCAATGGGCTACCTCTAGTCACAATGCCGGCTGAAGAAAGAAAATGCGTAGGCTATTTATGTTCAAGTTATTTTAGCTTCATGGTTCGTTCTTTAGCAATCTTACACTCTCATAAATAGGGGGCGTAGTACTTACACCCCTTGTCTTCTATAAAACACCCCAAAATAACCTTTCGACGTTCAGTTCACGGAAGTCGGAGTGACGATAGCGGTAACAACCTTTACGAGTCTTTGGTAGTAGTGGGATATAACTTACTCCATAGCTGCTGTACGCATCGAGGACTACAGAAAGAAAAAAACAACTGAGGTTTCATACCGGGGCCAATAAAAATTTGAAGGTTTCTCTGTAATCTTTAAGTGCGCACATTAGCTATTTTAATAGGTTGTATCACTCGACTATCAAGCGGCTCGTGAAGGTTCGTGTCGCCATTTCGACGTTAGTGGACTGAAGTCGAAATTGTCGTTTTCTGGGGTGTCATATATACTGGACAGAGGGTGTAAGTTCTACACCCACTATTTCCGAGGGTGTATCACCTAATGCCGTAATTTCATTGGCTACCAAGTGATAAGAAGACGCTCCACACTCACCACGTCCTCCGAAAAAAAAAAAGAAAAGCAAAACAAAAGAAAAAACCTATTTTCTGAGTTTAGAAACTTTTGCTTACAGGGTGGGGCAAATCTAACGCAACAACACGCAGTCAGCTGAACGTCACCTGTTGGATAAACTGAACGGCCTAGTGAAGCAATGCGGATGTTTGAACAACACCGTACCCTAAGTAAAACCACGCTCAGCGAAACCGGAATATACCACGGACGCCGGCTTTAGCTCGCGACACAAGTTGCGCCACGAACACCTGTTGTATGAACGAGCCGTCATAAAAAAATGACGCTCGTTTTCGTACGAACTCGAAGCAGGAAAACATTTGCCAAATAAGGACTGTTTTTGTGAGTGTTAGCCTGCTCTTCCAAGTTGAAAAAGCAAACCGGTCCTAAGCATGGTCCTCCGGGCAAGCAAATCTAAACAGAGTGTTTGTGCCTCCGTGTCCAGTGGCTTTTTCTTTGTGCCTCTATGACACGTGCAGTATTGATGGCGAACTTAAAAATTAGCTCTTAAACATGAAAGGCCATTTTTGGGAAATTATTTTGCAATTAATATCCTTTGCGTCCTACGCCAAAAGCTACAGTGGGTTTTTGTAGAGCATGTTTTAACATTTTTTTCTGTTACTTTAGAGGAGTGTTTATTTAGTTCGCATGGATGTGCAAGATGCTTTCCTCTTTGCACTGTGTATTTGTGGTTTTCTTTCTTTTCAACAGTTGTGTGGACATAGTGCAAAATATGGGAAGGGAGGGGGGCGATGAGAGCGGTTGAAGCTATAGTCAGGCAGGACTGCCCTTTGCCGCTAGCTCACTTCCGGGCTTGACCCGGAAAACTTCAACAATACTTGAATTCAACTGCATTCAATTCAATAACAAATAGTTCTATGTGGAGCTGCCTTTAGCGCTCTTGGAATGTGTAACCGGTTGGTTATTTTTGCACTTTTATTTTTTTTCTTTATTTCCCCTACTGTTTCTACGCTAGGTTGCGGCTGGAGCGCTTTTACACGCGATCTGTATTGTCTTTTGATGTAGATGCATGTTTGCTGACGGAAAACAAATCCACTTTGCTGAGTCGAACCGGTGGGAAAAAGAAACAGAAACGTACCAGATAGTAAATATCCAGCTGCTGTGCTAGAAGCACTGGAAGTGAGCGGGGGAGAGGGAGCAACAGGAGGTTTCATGAAATTCAATCTGAAGACATTACCAGAAGAAATAAAGTTAAAAATATATATATACCTCTAAGAAAATCTTGAAACTAGCAAGGTAGATTTTATAGTGCAAGTAGTACATATTTTAGCGCTGGGAAATGTACTAGCACAAGCACATTTTCTAGTACTAGGAAAATACATTTCTTACTGCAAAGCTAGGAAAGGAAAACCAGGACAGTAGATTCTACTCCGCTCATTTGCCTTAGCGCACCTACAGCGCCAAATCCTTCCCTAGCGGTGCAGGCACCACATATCCGAGAGACAGCATGCGCATCGCTCTCTCCACGCGGTCACCTGTTTCTACTGCGCCGAGGGAGACGACTGCTGTCGGTGAACCGAGAAACCGAATCCGCCGAGGCAGAAAAGACGACCCTCTGTGCAGGGGCTTCCACGACGATAGATGGCGGCAATCACCCGTCCCAATTCAAGAGGGAAAACCTCAGTGCTTCACGCGCCCTCCCGTTCTAACTTCGCAAATCCCGTTGGCGTAAATACCATTGAATTTTTGCGAAGTACGATGTCCTTCTTTGTAAGGTATTGTATTGATGTTAAAGCCGGGCTCACCAAGAACTCCGCGAGCTGGTGACCTTACCCAGGGATTTATACACACACACACAACGCCCCCCCCCCCAAATCCTCAGAACGGAGAGACTGACATCACCCCAAAATATACGCTTCCTACACCCCCCCCCCCCCCCCCCAAACACACACCCCTTACATAAAGATCGCCACCCCCCCACCCCTCTTCCCTTTTTCTCTCCTTTAATTTGTTTTCTCCCTCAGAGAAAACTTTTTCTTTTTCCTTTTTACTCTAGGGGAGTAACGTCTTCTTACTTCTAATAATGAATCCCCCACCTTCGGGTATCTCAGTAGTAAATCACAGCGGGACAAGCTAGATACGTTCCTCCCCCCGGGTGCTCCGATCACAGATGGCTTGATGGTAGCTCCCGACTCTGATCTCCGTCAGCGACATGATGATCTGTTGTTTAATATGTTTGCTTAATCAGAAGTCTTAGGTATCACCAGTGCAACCAAAGATGAGCCCGGGTCTCCAGTTTGTGTATCTCTCCCCTTTTTCCTTTCGGTTAAAAACAACCCTTGGGAATCCTCGCTGCTTTCTTTTCCCTCGGTGCTGTCCCCTTATTCGTCCAACACGCTGCATGTCCGTCCCACCACACTCTCTCCTGGTCATAAAGTTCGCGGTTGCACGTTGCACATGTCACAGAAGGCCCAAGCACGCAGCCCGAGGCACCACAGCATCCCCAGGCGTCCCAGCGCCGTGAAGGTCACCTTCCTCGTTCAAGGACAATCGACGCGCCGGAGTCAAACACACAATCAACACAAACTCGCGTTCGCGAACTGCGGGTTCAACCTACGGAATAGTTGTCAATTGTTTCCAGTCTCGGCTCTTCCGCCTGAAGAAGAGTCGTCGGTTCTGCCTCACCGCCGCTTCAGCCAGGCCCCCGCGAACTCGTTGGCTGAGCACGTCAGCCGCGTCTGCTGCCTTTGCCGATGGTAGGCAGGCACCAGTCAAAGCGATGGCTGCTTTACCTTTCCTGCGTCTGTCGGAGATTCACCGCTTTTTTACCGGCGAGAGTCACCGTTGCCTCGGAAAACAAGGAGATGACAAGAGGAGGAAATTGACCTTTTAATCTAAAATTGAGGTCAGCGATCAAAGTATAAGACGGGAAGGGTTCACAAGGGTCGCGCGGGCATATTCCATACAGCACGCCAGCCGGTCGTGGGCAGACGGTCGCCGAGTCGGAGTGCCTGCTAGGCCTATCTGCCGCGCTCGCTTTTTCGTTGTCGGTAGAATCGTGGCCGTTGGAGCTTTTCCCGGATGTTTGTGGATCCAGCGTTCTTGTTCGTCGTGGTCTGTTTCAAGTACTTTTTACTTTTTTCGTGCTGCTTGAAGTCGGGACGCGTGAGAAGCGCACGTAGAAAAATAAACGACCGTGGGTCGTCGCGACCGCGACGCTGTCGGCCGTAAGAAGTGCGTAAAGCGGGAAACACATGTAGGGCGAAACCGTCCGATTCGACGTGCGGACTGCCGGAATGACGTTGGGGGGCGAGGGCTTTCGTAGCACCGGAGAGCGTTGAAAACCCTCGCCTCCGACCGTCGTATTGCCTGGTCGGACGTCGGATCGGACGGTTTCGTCGTACATGTGTTTCGCGCTTTAAGACAGCTTCGGAGCTGTCGTAGGATTTCGTCGTAACCTGCGCAAAACTTACGAAAATTTCGTTTCGTGAATAGAATTTGTTCTTAAGTTTTGTCTTACGCAAATTTTCGGCGTAAGATCGTTTCGTGAATCTCTGCACTTCCGAAAGTCGCAGGAAAGGTAAGACAGACGCTGACGACGTTGCGAGCAGACGACGTTGCAAAGGAGCAGGCGAGGCTCAGATAAGGGGTCGCGATCAGCCAATCAGGGCTCGGCGTTCTGACGCCACCGCTACCCCCCCTGCGCAAGAAGCAGACGAGCTTGCCATCCGCATTGCTTCCGGTCTCGGGTACAGCATCAGGTAGCGCCCGGATGCACTGCTTGCAGGTCTGTCAAATACGTACGTCGCTACTGGAATCCTTTCTCTAGGGGCTCAGTTTTAAGAAAACATTACAGTACTGGTGCAGCCTAATCAATATTTGGTTAGGGCAAGCCCAAAAAGTGCTTGGTTCGCCAGCGGCATGCTCTTTATCACATCAAGTCGATCCTCACAGACACTTGCTGTATGGCCTACACGCTTTCTTTGACGCCTATTTCACAGGCACCCATAAATAC